GGTCCCATAGCCAGTAAATGGCCCAGGGGACATCAGAGCCTCCGTTCTGTCTCAAGAGCCCTTATTCTTTCCACTTGGTGTTGCTGGCTCAGTGGTGAGTGACTGGCCTAGTGGCAGCTCTTGGGGGGCCCGAAGAGGTCAGAAAAGCAGGCCTGCAGCTCACCCTTGGCCCAGCCCAGGGGCCAGGGGCTTTCGTGGAGCCAGGACCCACCTGAGCCATGGCTGGGCAGGAAGTGGTCCAGGAAGGTCGGCTTTTTCTTCCGCCGTTTGCTCTCGATGCCATGGGGGTCTGAGGGAAGACAGAGATGAGGACCCCTCAACCCCGACAGCCCTTCCTCCCCAAGCTGGGGCCGGACGGCAAGGCAGTGGGGTCGGCCGTCCCCTCCCCCGAACCTGGGGACAGGTATGGAAAGAGGCAGAGGGCACACACCAGAGCTGTTCAGCTCCCCAAGAACATCGGGCATCCCCCGTTTCCGCTTCTTGTCCACGCCGTAGCTGTCTGTTCAGGAGATACCAGGGATATACAAAAAGTAATCCATCAATAATAATTAATTAATAACTAATTATAGAGACCATTTAGGAACGTGTTGAGCTGTTCTGATTCGTGACCAACCAGTGCAAATAGATGTCCACATCCTAATCGGAGTAAAACCCAAGCTCACTTCCAGCCACACTGGCCTCTCTGTTGTCCCTGAAGTGCCCCAGACATGATCCTGCCTCAGGACCTTTGCATTTGCTGTTCCCGCTGTTTCAAGCACTCTCCCTCAACTCCCACCACTGCCTTGGAGACCTACTCAGTCATCCTCCTGTCCTCAGCTGTCCCTTTCTCCAGAAAACCTTCCCTGACCCCTAGGGTTGGGTCTGGTGCCCCCTTTGGGCAATCTGAGACCCTCAAGTAACTCCGTTCCAGCATCCTACCCACTCTGGTAATCCCTGTGTGGGGACAGGCTGTCTCCTCCCCCTCCCCAGGATTGCAGGCCCCATAAGGGCAGGGCTGTGGGCTGTCTTGGTCACTGCCATGTCCCCAGCACTACCCAGCATGGGGCAGGCATGAGCAGGCAGACTGAGGGGATGAATGGCTAATACTCTCCAAATGCCATGGGACGGGTAATATTATTTTCATTTTGCACAGGAGGAGTCTGAGGCTCAGAGAGGCAGAGGTCACACAGCCTATAAGCGGCAGAGCTGGGATCCGAACCCCGTCTATGTGGCTCCTTGCCTGCATTTTCCTTCTGCCTCTTCCCCTTCCCCGTCTGGGTCACCCCAAGCAAGGCCAAAACCCTACTCTCTGGGGCAGTGGGTCACCCTGGATTGCCGTGGTTACCATGGTCCCGAGGCAGGTACGTGAAGGGCAGCGGCTCGCTGCAGACCCCATCGGTGAGCCGCTGCAGGAAGACGTTGACTGTCACAGGCTCGACAATCTCCAGGTCCTCGTAGGGTGGCGTCTTGAACACAATGGCAATCTGGCGGTGCACGTCCGCTTGGGAGAAGTCAGCCCGGCCTTCCCAGGAGGGCGTGCTGAACACCACCGATATGTCCTCTGGCAGGAAAGTGGGCACGTGAGCTGAGCCAGGACATCTGACCCCCTAGGCCCCCAACTTGCTCAACCTCCCCAAAATCAATACTAATATTTCTAAAAATAAAACATCGTAGTGGCAGCTTTCTGTTGAGCACCTATTGTGTGCCAGTCATTAAGTGTTTTACACATTTTTATATGTATCAGCCGAAGAAGCAGGTGCCTAGAGCCGAGTCTAGAGGAAGGGGGAAGCTTCCAACAGTCCCTCCCTCTCCCGGTGGAGCCACAGAGGCTGCTCTTAGTTCCCCCAGCAACGCACCGTGGCAACACTCGTGAGATGCTGTCCACCAAGGAAGCTCGTTAGAGACTCAGCACCCACGGTTTTTACTGGGGGCTGGTCACACAGGCACCTTCTGCCTGGCACATACCAAAATTCCAGACTCCCAGAAGGAAAGCAGGTGCTTAGCACAAACCACATGGTTTGTACCAACAGTTCAGGCCCCGTGAGCCACTCTGGTCCATTAGGGAATGGTGGGAACCCTCCCAAAATCCAAGTTTCCAGACGCCAGCCAAAGGCCAACTTTGTAAGAGGCCTTTTAAAGGACAGCAATCTCACTTCTGCTAGGTTAACTCTTTTCTACACACCCACTTTAAAAATGGAGAAACTGAGGCTTGGAGGTGTGGAGACTTCACACAGCTGCTAACAGAATAGGCAGGATTCATTACGCTACTCTGCCTGCTATTTCTTTTTCTTGTCATATTGCATTGCCTCTCGTCACACTAACTCCATGTACGGAAGCTTCATATGTGCCGGACACATACAGATTGCCTCTTAAGTCACATAACAACCCTATGAACCATTAGGTACTCCCACCACATAGAGAAGGAAACAAAGGCACAGAGAAATGAAGTCACTTATGCAAGGTCACACAGCCAAGTGGTGGAGCCAGGACAGGAATCCAGGAAGGCTACAGCTCTTCACTACCCCCTCTGCTAGGGCTTGGGGAAGTCACTTGATATCTCTGGGCCCAGTTTCCTCATTTTCACAGAGGGAGAATCACAGTACCATCTCATTAGGGTGCTAGGAAGATTAAATGAGTCAATCCAGGTAAAGGGCTTAGGAGAGGATTTAGCATATAATAGGTGCTCAGACCATGCTAAGTATGATTGTTCCTATTAGTATTAGGCAAAGTGCTAGCTCCAGGCGTGGCACTCAGCAAGTCTTCAGTAAGTGCTAACTCTTTGTAGTACAGTTCTTAGGCAGCTGGGATCTCATCTCATCCTAACAGCAGCCCATTTTAGGGATGAGGAAACAAAGGCTCAGGGGGGTAAGGTCACCTGCCCAAGACCAGCGGTGAATGGAAGATGGAACAGGACTCACACCCACCTCTAGTTGTTCACCTGCTCCTGCGATGGTTTCCCTACCCTATTCCCAGACCTCTAACAATCTCCTGGGTATTCCTCGGATCTCAGCTCAATATCACCTCCCCTGGGAAGATCTCAGATGCTCGGATCGTGTCTGGTCTTCCTGTTCTTCAACCTCAGGACTTTGTCTTCTTCCCTCTCAGTATTATCCACGTTCATTTTTTGTCTCTTTCCCTACCTTCCACTGGACTAAGAGCCCTGTGAGGGCAGGTTCTGTGCCTGTCTCTGTCACTGAGGTGTCGCAGCAGTGCCCAGCACAGGGCCTGGCACAGGGGACCTCCAATAACCATTTGCATATTCATTCATTCATTCATTTATTCAACATTTTATAAGAACCTCCCACTCCCGGGTATATACCCAACAGAATTAAAGACAGGTGTTCAAATGAACACTCGTACGCGAATGTTCATAGCAGCACTGTTCACAACAGCCAAAAAGTGGAAACAAGCCAACTGTCCGTGAGTGGATGAACAGATAAACAAACCGTGGTGTCCCCCTATGACGGACTATCGTTCAGCGAGAAAAAGGAACAAAGCACTGATACACGCTGCGACGTGGGCGGACCTTGAGAACACCATGCTGAGTGAAAGGAGCCAGGCACGGAAGGCCACACGGTGTATGATTCTATTTAGGAAATGTCCCTAATAGGCAAATCCATAGCGACAGAAAACAGATGAGGGTTGGCAGGGGCTGAGGGGAGAAGGGAATAGGGAGTGACAACTTAACGGGTACAGGGTTTCCTTGTGGGGTGCTGAAAAGGTTCCAGAACTAGATAGTGGTGGTGGCACAACACTGTGAATGCCACTACATGCCACTGAACTGTACACTTTAAAGTGGCTAAAATGGTTTTTAGAAAAAAAATTGTGAACCTTGTAACAAAAAAAAAATTTTTTTTACCTAAGAACCTCATGTGTGCTTAGCCCTGGACTGGGTGGTGCTGGGACACAGCTATGACCAAGACAGCCCCAGGCTCTGCCCTTATGAAGCTCACGGTCCAGTGAGGGAGACGGACATTAACTGTTTAATCACATAACTAGGAAAGGGTGTGGTGGGAGGAGATCCCTGGGCCTGTGGCAGGTTCTCCCACTCTTCTCCCCTCTCGCTGCCCTCTTCCCCCATCAGCCTCGCTGTTCCTCCACTAGCCAGACCTGCTCCTACCCCAGGGCCTTTGCACTTGCCGTTCCTCTGCTGGAACACTCTTCCAAAAGGTGGCCACACAGATCCTTCATGGCTCTCATGTCTCCTGAGGGGATCCTCGCTGGCCTCCCTAAATAAAATTATGCCCCAGACCCTGCAGCCATTACCCTCTACCCCCTTTCTCAGTGCCATTTTTCTCCTTAGCACTTATCACCACCAGACATACTGTAAGCTTCACTTCTAGCTCCTGGTTACTGTCTGTCTCCCCAGCTTCAAAGTGAGTCCCCCAAGAGCAGGGTTTCCATCTCTTTTGTTCACTGCTCTGTCTGTCCCCGGTGCCCAGACAAAACTGGGTGCTCAATACACGTGTTATGTAACAAAAGAAGACGCCCTCTGCCATGTG